GGGTTTAGGGTTTAGGGTTTAGGGTTGGGAGTTTCGTACATGTTTTAGTCATTTTTCGAACTTTGGGTGTTTTGGGGGTTTAGAGGTTCAGGGTTTGTGATGCTCTCTGGGTGGCTTCGAACGGTTTGTGGAAACATGAGCCTAGGCAGTCGGATGGTAGTTCATGCAGGTCCATCTGCTATTATAGGACCCTCAACTCCGCACCTACCCACCCCATGATCCCTAAATCCTAAACCCCAACCCTAAACCCTTACCCTAAACTCAGAATTTAGGATTTGGGGTTGCCTTGCGGGCTCGTCTTTGTAGTTAAAGCCTCAAAGGCGCCAATCGTAGCCTCACCAAGGCTTACAAGATCCTCGGACTGCACGATCTCTTCCCTTAGGGGCCCCAGTGCCGGAACGAACATGCTACGGCTTCATCAATCCCTGCAACACTTGCGTAGAAGAGACTATCGACAATCCGTTTTATCTGACACATCCTAAGCCCTTATACGCACACCTTACTCCCAAATTTCGAAATCCTGAACTCAGTATAAACCCTTGCCCTTGAGCACCTGGACCTGGAACAACCCGAAACCCCAAAACCTTGAACCCTGCACCCCCAAACTAACCTTAGAGCCCGGCTACTTCTAAACCTCCAACCTTAAACTGTCAAACCCCCTGAACATAGGAGCTTGATTCGGCTTGATTAAGTACCAATGCTATGATTCTGATTCTTAAGGCCACAAATCTAAGCCCCTATAATTCACCACATTATAGAGCCTTAATGGAGACCTGAAAGAGGAAGCTCGTTCTTAGCATTAAGGCACCTATATGACTTTCGAGGGTCCTGTTACCCAGAGACTCCAATATCCCTTAAGTAAGGAATACACCTTAAATTATAGTAGGATCCCTACTATAGTTTAAGGTATATTCCTTAATTAAGGGATATTGGAGTCTCTGGGTTTGGACCTTCAGCAGGCACGGCTTCGAAGTGCTGCTGCGAGTGTCACGGGAGCCTCAGCAGAGGCCCCCAAGAATCCTGGAGGCTGATCTGGGCTGGCTTGTTCCAGAGGGGATCCGTATATACTACCATTACGGAATAAGGCCCCAACAGACCATCCTTATTATGCGTTTTGGGACTTAGTTCCATAATAGTAGTGTGTATGGACCCTCGTGGTTCAGGGTTCTAGTGAAGGGCAGGTTTCAGTTGACGTTTATTTTTAAGCATTATGGGCTTAGTGTTTGCAGTCAAGAAACTCAAGGTTCTCTTGTAATAGTGTTTTTCGTTGGGCTTCATAAGGGAGCTTGGTGTTGAGAAGTGTTCTAGTGTACAGAGGTTTGGATACTTGTTGCTACTGTCCTTATATCGCCTGGTTGCTGCGAACGATTGCCAAACCCTAAACCCTAAACCCCAAACCCTTAAACCCAAACTACCATGCAACTCTTTGTGTCAGCCCCACTTGGGATCCAACTCGCTCTCTTGGGCGTGGTTCCAAACAGGATTCGTCTTGCCTTCAATGTTCTGCAATTATGTGTAGCTCAGGTGTAGAAACTCATGGCTGCTCGCGCTTCTCTGCTGGCGGTGTTCCAGAAAGGTATATTTTATTTAGGTATATTGGGGAACCGCAAAATAGTATTGGTTACTTAGGCCGCTGTAGAAAAGATACCCGACAGATTCTTGGCATCGGAGGCGACGAGGCAGAGCCCAGCTTGGAGACCGCTGTGATCCAGGTGCCTTTGTGGGGACTGTCCCAGCCTGGTGGGGCGTTGGAGTAACAATATAGGGGCCTTAGTAATTGCCTATACTTGTTTGGGGGTTCCTTAACCTCAAAACCCTATTCTAATTATTAAGGCGCCTGCATTACCCACGTTTGTGTTCTTCTCCTTCGTTTTCGTCTTATTTAAACCCTAAAACCTAAACCATGGTTCTATTTTGGGATTTGAGAACCGGTAGGATTGAAGCTTCAGCATCAGGCGTGGGAATGGATTGATGGAATCAGACTGATACGGTGCCGTTCCTGTCGTCCTGCCGTGTAATCTAGGGGCCTGAATAATTTTGGGGGTTCCTTGTTATACTTATAGTGTAATAATATAGGGTCATTAATAATTACCTATAATATTTTGGGGGCTCCTTGTTGTTTCTATACCCCAACACCCTATTCTAATTGTTAAAGCCCCTATATTAATCATGGTCGATGCGCATTGGTGACATACACACTTGCCAATCATGGCGAAGGCCGTGTTGTTGAATCAAAGTGTCAGTCCTTGCACATGTTTGTGAGCCCTAAACCCTAAACCCTAAACCTCTTTATCATATGTATATTTGAACTTTAATATCATTAGTTGTTTTAGGCGAGTTTCAGACCTCATCAAATTAGTTGTTTTAGGCGAGTTTCTTTTTCCAGCCTTCCAGACCTCATCTCCGGCACTTCCCAGACCTCATCAAATTAGTTGTTTTAGGCGAGTTTCAGACCTCATCAAATTAGTTGTTTGAGGCGAGTTTCAGACCTCATCAAATT